GCGGGAACCCGGCACGGAACCCTCCGGCGTTGTAGGCGGGTGTGGGAAGCGTTCCCCGTTCTCCTTTTATTTTATTTTGATCGGTCTCCTCGACGCTCTTTCTCGTTTGGTGCGGTAGCTGGTCTTTCTTTCTATCATTTTGTTTCTCTTCCGAGTGGTTTTTGTACCCTATTTTTTTTTTTATTTTTCCAAATTCTTCGTGGGGTCGTGTATGCCGGGTTTTGAGACCACGGGCTCCCAATCTTTTTTTTTAGAGCTAATGTGAGAAACAACAACAACAACCCTGTTGTGTCGCTTTCCCAACAAAAAATATGAATTAAATTTACAAAATAGGTGGTTCCATCTCGGAAGACGAATCTCGGGGTTTTTGGCGTCTGACGCATCCCCAAAAGTAGTACGACTACACGTCTCGGGCGGCACAGCAGCAGTCGCTCCAACTTGGCCGCTCCGATGAAATAAATACTGCTTGCTTGCTGTGTGTTCCAAAGCGACGTTCTGATCAAACTTTGTCAAAGGCTGTAGGGTTCTACACTGCTGTCAGTGCAACCTCAGGACCGCGGCACAACTAAGAGCTCTAGATACATGCAGTTGGTGCGGCGTGGCCGCAAACCCGCCGCCATGCCCCATGCCATCAACCCGCGCCAAACTTGGCGAAGCTTGGGTAACTATGTATCTACTGCGCGGTAGACCGACGGGTGGGGATATTTATTGATGCAAACAGGCTGAGAACACTACCTGCACCGTTCATTCCTTGGCTGTTTGGTACCCGGGTACAAAGTACGCAGTACTACCGGAGTACTACTGTAGCCATCTTCGTTTTTGATGTCCCGTAAAATGAATCGTGTTCATTCTCTCTACAGGATTTCTGTGACACGTGACCCCAGAATTCCCGGATCAACGTCGAGGAGTCGAGGATGTGTGCCGGATGGGGTTTGCCTGGTCGGCGAAGAAATCAAATCCAAACAATACACACAAATCCAAACGATGAACACTACTCTCATCATCTAGCGGTGAGGATTACTTCTTCAGGTCCACCTTCCTCTGTATGCACAGAACCGGCGACCATTTTGACGTTTTGACACAATGTGTCCGTGACACCTTTTTGATTCCGCTCCCCTCTGTGGAGAGTTGAGACACTGAATATTCAAATATTCCCGCAGTCCCGGTTGAGTGTCTGCTTGACTTTCAATTTCCTTGGCCTATCACATTGTTTGGACGTCACCGGTTTGAACACCTACTACCTGTCGGAAACATTGCTGAGCGCATCGCCGACTGCAGGAGGAAGGCGGGATGCCGCACAGAGGATGCCTGTTGTCCTGTTCTTTCGTACCACCAGATCGTCGTATTCGTAAGCGCGAGATTTCATTGTTCAAACTTGGAAAACAGGAGCCTCAACATTATTGTTGACCATTCTGTTTCAATCCAGCGGAGATACTCACACTAGGTCAACCAGACACAGGCGCACACTCATTGGTGTTGGTATTGGTTTTGTCCTAGAATTAAAGCCCGATCCTGACCTCCACACCGTGCCCTCAAATTCTAGACTGATCCGAACCAACTAAGGATAGACGCGAGCCCGTGGGGCTGATGCTGCCGCACATCACAATCTTCTGTACAGGCTGATGTGGCATTGCAAGGCACGCATATCAAGCTCGGCGGCACACGCCAAAGAAAAACAACCACAAGCTTAATCGCCGAACCCCACCAAAATCAAGAACTGCACTCGTCAAGTTCCTCCATCAAAAACCTGCTAATCCTTCGGACACCAACTTACGGAGTACACAACGCGAAAGACCGACTCATTTAATGAATGGCCACAGATGCTTTCTCCCCACCACTGCCACTGCAAACAAGGACAATCTAATCTGGACGAACTCAAAACCAAATCACGTGTCCCCCCACACCCGGAAGTTTCTAAACTCCTTATCCCTGCCCGCCGGAGGCAGAAAACGTCGGCCTCTCCCCTCGTAGTCTTCCATCACAACGTCAAGGAGGTGGGGTACCTACCAAGGCACACGGAGACAAAGGATAACGGAGGGTGGAATTGTCATTAAAAACTCAACTATATTACCGCAGTGTCACCTGATAAATCGATGATAGCGATGACTTCATACGTAGCCCGGCACGTTGGCAGGCCATTCAGCGGGGCCGGGAGCGGGGGATTTCTGAGTTTTGCTTCGTTCGCAGGCGTCTCAACAAAGAAAAACAGACGAAAAATGAAGCATAACGTCCCTCTTAACTTACCGGCACATTCAGTCGCTGGTCCGTTTGTTGGCGAGGCATACGATACTGAACACTGCGAACAGCATCGGTATCAAATAGGCGGGAACACAAGACCTCGCAAAACAGGGGGCAAGGACATTCTTCTTTGGCGCGTGGAAGGGGGGGGACTTCAGGCACATCACGGTATATGTTCGTGAGGTGAGGGAGGGGAGGTTTCGCATCCTAGCATTGTCGTCGTTCCCGTCGCCTTGGTCCTGGCTTCCAACCAGTGCTTCCACACCTAGCAGCGCCACGGCGATACATGGTGGCAGCCAACGAACACACCAGTGATGAAAACTGGCACGTCGGTGCGTATCGCGACAAACTCACAACGGATTTCGGCAGGAGGATAGGCAGGATCTCAGTCTTGATGGCCTGCACGACCTTGTCGAACGCCCTGCCGTAGTGCCGCTGCAACTCGAACCCGGCCACCTGAGGGGGGTGGGCGGAAGAAAACAACTTTTCCACGTCACGACCAAGGAAACCCACCACTTTCACGTATTCAGGCCCTTGCATTAAGCCTCGCCAGCATGCACGGGATCCTCACAAACAACGCGTGACGCAGTGGTCGAAAGGCAGATTACGGGGCCGAGAGGCACTAGCAGAAATTCACAAATTGAATAAAAGCTACTCAAAGACTGACGTCTCTTCATGGGTCAGCCGCTTAGCGCGGTCGATGCTAATCAAGGAAACAGACACACACCATCCTCTTATCCGGATGCACGACCCACCTTCAGGAACCACTCCAGGACTGGGCCGGCCGGTACCGGCGGCGGGTTCCCCTTCTTGACGTACCCCGCCATCCCGTTGACGAAGCGAGCCAGCCAACACCAGCCCTGCCACAGAGGCAAGGGGTGCTTCGTAGTCGCTCCACCGTGCGCCGGCGTCTTGAGGAGGAAAGTAGGGTGGAGTTACACACCAGGTATAGAGCTTGGCTGACCGTCTCGGGATGAGGCACGATTGCTACCCGACTAGCTCGCTTCGGGACAACGATAGACAGGGAGGACCCCCTCCCTTGAAACACGCCGTCCGTCAGAAGCCCGTCGACTTTGCGCCTTGATGGGCTCACACAGGCGTGAGGGAATACGAGTACCACGCTTTTGCGCCCGCGCTTGCCCCCAACCGCGACATGCGTAAGAGTGATCGTCCCACAACGGCCTCGTAGGCCCAACGCCGGCAGATATCCCAAGGTAGGCGTGTAAAAACAACACGTCGACCACCAAAACAAATCAAATCTAACAAGTTGGTTCGAGAGAGATGAGTGAGAGAGCGAAAGCTGAACAACCTCCTCTTCTGGTTGCGCCCACCCCGCAACACAAACTTCGTAGCTCGACTGTCTTTTCTCCTGCAAAAAGCTTGTTTCGCACAAGCTCGTCTCCAGCGATCGCTTTTTGTTCCCTACACACCTCTTCCTAGGATACCCCCCGCAAGACGTGTCACTTGCTTCACCTGCATGACGGCGGCCATAAGCACCACCAGCCCCTTGGTGCGGTTCAGAAACGTGGGAAGGTCCTCGCCCCCCGTCTGTCCTAGCAGCGACATCACCTCGTCATCGGAAAAGCCAGCAGTGTCGAAGGACAGAGCGGGCACGGCCGACGGGCACCTCCTGAGAAAAAAACGCGAAAAAATGAAGCAAGAACAAGGGTGTGTTGAATGGTGGACTCCCGACGGTCTCGCTAAAAGATAACAAGAGGACTAGACTACATTAGTAGTATTGATCTTTGTCCTGTGATGTTTTCAAGACAGCCCTGTTCGATGATGCCACTGCAAAAATTCTCAAGTGCAGAACCAAGGAGAGGAGGGCCGACAAGCGACCCCTAGAGCACCACCTGAGTCTTCAACAAACATCAACTTTGATTAACAACCCCTCCGGTGCCCCCCAGACAACTCAAGCATCAACTCCTGCAAGTTATTGCAAAACACTTACAGGATGGTGGCAAAAAAACATGCTATTCTTGCCACCAAGAGCATACGTCACTTACAAGTACAGAGTGCCGAGGAAGAGCTCCGACAGTCCCTCATGCTCCTCCATCAGGTCCACCGCCACACAGGCAAGCGGAAAAGCCATCCGGTACGAGTCCCCGCTGAAGTGATCCCGCTCCGAATAGTCCACCAGCTTGAACCATCGAAACCGAAAAGACACGATAGGACCCTTGATCAGTCCCCGGTGTGCCACGAGAATATGCGACAACACTTGGGCTGTCTATCTCTGTACTGGAACCAGCAATGCTACTTCATGGTGTGGGCACATGTGGCGGGGTGCGGGCTGCTGGTGCGTGAACATAGTCCAAGAGAGAGAGAGAGGAGAGTCGGGTTGTTGTTGTTGTCTTCACATTAAAAACCGTTCCCGTCTCCACTCAGTACCTTCTTTATGTCCGTACTGTTCCAACTGACGCCGACGCCTTCCGTGGGCACAAGCCAACTGTTCCCCATAGGGGGGTGTACTCATAGTCGTGTATGCCGTAGTCGTTAGACCATTGACCTCGCATCCCTACAAAGCCGGGACGGAGCACGCCGGGTTCTCACCGGACCAGGCTCTCACATCACCAAGCGCGAAGCGCCGTGAGATATTCGGCGAGTC